TTTGATCCATAGGGGTTGGATCAGGTCACCAGTCTGCTTGATCCATAGGGCTTGGATCAGGGCTTTGACCCATAGGGTTGGATCACTCTGGCTGCAGCGCGGAACGATCTATACCAGTGTTTTTGGCAACACCCATGTATGGTCCTTTCATCAGCTCTCTGGGGCCTCCGAAAGAACAGTCCGTGCTTGACAAACAGAGTGTGAACCATCTCCCGTTCTTCAGGGCAGAATCTTTAAAAATAATCCAAGTTGCACCAGGCACCAAAACGATAACAAAACGATAACAAAAACGATAACACAGCGAGCCTAAAAGACCTTTGTGTAGGTAGGCCACCACATGTGAGCGCCATGGACAGCAATAAGATCTTCAACGCTGCGGTCGCAGACTCTGAGATCGGAGCGCAGGTAGTGGAGCTGGCAAAGGCAAGTGTTCCAGGACAGGCCAAACGCGCCGTGCTGACCAAAGAACAAAGGACTTGGGTTACGAACCGCATCCGCCAGAAGTATTTGCCCAACCTGAGCGACCAGGAGCAGAAGTATTACATGAATTTGCCAAAAGATGTGGACCCAAAGGATGTGAAAGTCCAGGCACGGCCTTTGCTGCTGGAAGTGCTTGGAGGGAGCGCTTCCTCTTCAACCACAGGCCCTGCACCCACAAAGCCTCTGCCAATTCCTCCAAGACAGCCAAGTGGCGTTGGTAAGACAAGGCCGTCAGAGGACAAGAGCAAGACCCAGAACCCGCCCAAGAGACCCCTCAGCAACAAGAGAGATTGCTCCAAAACAGTGGCACAGTGCTTGTTGAAACATGGTCGAGGTAGCCGGGCCGGAGTGTGCAAGCTAGTGCGGAAAGTGGTGGCCTTGCTCGACAATGAGTGCCCAGGTGTCCAGCAGGAGCTCTTGCGAGATGAGCCCATTACAGACAACTTGCTGTTGCAAAGCCTGTCGCGATTGCGGGAAGAAGCTGTGAATGCTGGTTTCCAGACCGTTGCCATTGCAGATTTGGACTATACACTCTCCGCCGAGGGGACTTGGTCACGCAGATTCCTGCAAAAGCAGGGCTACAGACTCGGACAGGCTGCCTGGAAAAGCGTCCTCAAACGCACGAAGCAGAATGTGAAACTTGATCGGCGCAAGAGGGAAATGCACACGAAAGGTGGTCGTCCATCAAAGGTGAATCCGGATTTCATTGAAGTGACCAGACAAGTTCTTGCTCAGCATTCAAAGCCTGGCAGTCAGCTTGCCCATGTGCACCGCCATTCTGATGGCACTTTTGGCCATCACAAGCCGCGGGGGAGTCAAGAGGATGCAAGAGTAGTGCCAGCGCAATCGCTCCTGACCAAGACAGCTAGGATGTGGCAAGACCACCCAGAGATCCACAATCGAGTGAGCAAAAGTATGTTCTATAAAGTCCTGAAGCGACACTTTGCCGACTTCAGGCCTGGACACCGGAAGACAGACATTTGCAGCCACTGCCAGTGCTTCTGGAACCATTTGGTTCCTCGGTTCCATAGGGATTGGAAGAGGATCCGGGACGATTTGCTCAGTGTGTATCCAGGTTATTTTGCACATTACCCTGTGGATCGAATTTTCTCAGATGTAGGAGAAGAAGCTGAATTTGCATGGAAATATGTGAATAGCCATGCGGAAAAGTACAAAGAGGAAAGGAATGCGAGTGGGTGCGACCGCCTCCAGCTTTATAGTTTCACTGAAGCTCCTGCTGGTGTGCTTCTCAAGGGGCATGTGTCTCTTCTGCGAAGCTATCTCTGGCATATGTTGACTGCCAGGCGACAGGAAAATTGTTTGAAGCAGCTTATGACACCAGAGAAACTGCCACAGGGTGATACCCTTCTTATTTTCGACTGGAAAGAAAAGATCCGACTACCTGTTGGCCCAGAAGAGACATCTGATATGTGGCATTGTCAGCAGAAGTATGCAATATCCTGCTTCGGATGCTGTTGCTTCAGGCACACAAGCTTTTCCTCTCCAACCACCCCTGCCCTTGAGCAGCTCGAACATGCTTCAGGACAAATCATTTGAAGCTAGTGACCTGTAACTTTTGCTTTGTGTAGGGAAGCTTGTTTGCTTACTTGCCAAGGCAAACCTACGTCATCTACTTGAATGAGGTCAGGGAGCAGACTGCAGAAGCCTCCAACAAAATGTTGGACCAGGTTTTGACAGATTTGTGTGTGAAGGAGCAAGGTGTTCTTCGTTTCTGGAGCGATTGCGGTCCACATTTCCGCGCAGCAGAGGGTCTTGCACACAGAATGAAGCTGTGCAGGGTGCGAAAGCAGGTGGTCGATTGTTCCTTCTTAGGCGAGCAGCACGGAAAGAACTTGTTGGACAGTGCCTTTGGGGCAGTGAGCCGGTGGGTTGATGAGTATGCTCTGAAGAAGCCTATCTACAATGTGGAGCAGCTTGCAGCAGCCATCCATGAGGGTGCACAGACAACCATGAGGCATGATCCTCAAGGACCTCGATGGAAGTGCTCTTTGCTAGATTTTGGCCAATACCGTGAAAGAACAACGCAATATGTTCGGTCAACAGACTTCAAGATAACAAGGACATACTGTATGGTCATAGCACCTCCTCGGCAGGCTCTTGCACATTGCTCTTTGAAGAACTTTGTCTTCAGCGACATGGATCCTAACACTGGAGAGACGTGCCTCTATGACCTTGAGGAGTACCAACATCCTGAGCCCATAGCCTGGAAGAAATCTTTCTTTGAAGGCACAAAAACTTGGGAGGAAGCGCCACCAGACATTGGTGATATGACAGTGCTGCACCGCCGGCATGATGCTCAGAAGAGGAAGGGCCCAGCTCCTGGCCTGCTGCCAATAAAGACTTTTCAAGAGAGAATGAATGCCAAAGCCCTTCGCAAGATCAAAGACAGGGCGAGGGTGGAGAGACAACTGGAGACACTCAAAGGAGGACCACTGGGCAACTCTGAGAGTTCGTCTTCTTCTTCTTCTTCAACCTCATCACCTTCAGATTCTGAAGAGAATTGAAACGGAAAAGGGGAGTTGGATTGTATGGGAGGGGGCATGTGAGAGCGGGCAGCAGGAGGGAACCATGTCTAGTGAGTTGCTAACGCATGGGCCTCTAGCATGGACTCCAGCATGGGGGATTGTACCTAATGTCTTCATGTCTGCAGGTTCCACACCACATGCGCGCAGTGCACACACACATGTATACTACATATGTTACATATGCTGCAGTTAGTCAATGTACTGTAAAACGATAAGGAAGAAAAAAACGATAACGCCAAAAGTGGTAAGGCAAAATAATAGGGGGTTTTTATACAACCTCACCTGGGAACCAGTGGAAATCACTCGCAAAAAATGATGAACAATCCAAATGGCACGTTCCAAACAATTTTGCACCCAAAAATAAAAAATATCACACCGTTTAGCAAGAAATGCAAAAAACACAAAAAAAACAAGATGAAACAGTTGGAAGCAAGGGATGATGTGAAATCTCTCGTCAAAAAAAGTGTGATTTTAAGAGTTGTTGACTTCGAAATCAGGGATTTAGAGTCTAAAATCACCATAATTTTGCCGAGAAAATTGACATCCAACTGTGTCTCCAACTGTTTCCAACTGTTTCATCTTGTTTTTTTTGCATTTTTTGCTAATCGTTGTGATTTTGTGTTTTTTGAAGCGCACATTTATTTGACAGTGTCGTTTGGATTGTTCATCATTTTTTGCGAGTGATTCCCACTGGTTCTAGGTCCCAGGTGTTCCACACATTTGCGACTGTGTTCCGACTGCTTCCCGACTGTTTCCGACTGTTTCCCGACTGTTTCCGACTGTTTCCCGACTGTTTGCCCGGCTGTTTCAGTTTGCAGCCTCGATTGACCGAAACTGTTGCAATCCCGACTGAAGCCTTGGTTTTTGGTGTTACTTTCGACTACAGTATTTGTTTCCGCCATCAAGCCTTGTGGTTTGCTCCCACTACTTTTACCTATTGCCCCAAGCTGTCTTCACAGCTTGGTTCCCACGGGTTTTGCTTGTATTGTGTCCAACGTTGCTGACATGGTTTCTTTTGTTTGCAATGTTGTCTCCTATGTCTACCGGATTCTTGTTCACCGCGTTCAAACATAGGTTTCCTTTATCTCAGATTGGTTTTAATAGTTAGGCCAGCTGATGTGACTTTAAGGTCCAAAGTCTTTCTTGCTTGATTCCTTTCAACCAGTTTAATAGTGGTTCACTATGTGATCAGTCATACAATCATATTCTAGAGAGACCATGCCAACATTGATGACCTTCTTTTTTTGTTCTCATAATTTTCTTTGTGCCAAACATGTTGCAAGGTTCCAAATGAAATGCTGGCGCTACACCAACAAATTGAACCTCACCCAGCGTCTTCAAAACTACAAATTATTCCAAATCGCACTTGGCCCCAAAAATCCCAAACCTCGTGAAATTTGATAGCTGGAACATGTAGGAACTATGAACTTATGGTTTGTAATTGTGTATTACTTTTTGTGTGTGATTTTCTCTCCGTTTTTCCATAGACCTTCATAGACCTTTCTTTGTTTGTTTGTCCTTCCTTGTATCCTGTGTCCCTGAGTTGAAGAACTTATAAGGCTCTTTTCCTGTCTATGCCCGCGACGGGTTGCTCTCGTATGCTGTCATGACCCTTGGTGTCCGAGTGTTGATTTGGAATCTGAAATGGAGGCTCATGGACCCTCAAACTACTACATGTTTGAGGTCCAAAACCCTGGCTGTGAGGGTCAAAACCTAGCTATGAGGGTCCAATGAGCCTTAGGGCAGAAATGGAGAACCAGTGCTTTTTCCAGGTGCTGGACCTGACTTCGTTCGTAGAACATGGGGACATGACTCGAAGAAGAGACGTCGGCACCACGGCTGGGCCCGGATACGACTAACTCGGAGCTACGACGTTGCCGGGTCGACTCCAGATATATGAACTGTCTCGGTTTGACCTGTTTGGGTTTCCTGGGTGGTTTTGGAACCGGAATCCTCCCTTCCGCCGGTCTTCTTGCTATAGCTCTTTTTTGGCGCTTGGTTGAGACGTGGGGACAGGCAGTCCGCTGCCTACCCAGGAAGTGTGTGAATCACCTGCATGCAGGTCCTCTTGTGAGTTGGGGACCTGGGGAGGGACACCACCCCGCTCCACAATGAATTCGGTTGCAGTGAAGGGTGAACACCGTGGATGTTCTCACCCTAGGCTCCTGGCCCATATCCTCAGGTGAAGGTGGTTAGACCCCCATGGCACCCACCCCAGTCCCACCGAACCGAAACGGAGGGGGCGGTGGTTGGAGCCCAAACGGGTCGGCTCCGGCACATGGTGAGCCGTCGAGCTCTGGCAGATTCGTTGGGCCTAGGCATCATCAACGCTTGCTTCATCCTTCACTGGATCCTCGTTCCAAAACCGGTCCCGCGCGGCCAACAGAACCGTCCTTAGGAGGTGAACCCTTTAACGGTTTGCCATGAAGAGGGGGGAAAAGGGTGTACCCGGAACCTGAGTGAGCTCTGCTTTCGAGGATCAACTCTCCAAACTGCCTTTTCCTATCAAAAAAGAGGTCATGTTTGGGTTCTATAGGTATAGTTAAGCAAAAGGATCAAATTTATATCTTCGAGACACTCCATGAGACTGACATATTTACCGATCAGCACAGACATTGGGTTGTTGACCCGGGGGTCAATGTAGGCAAATATATTCCACATAGAGTGTTTGGGTATCACAGGTGTGCACATCAATCTAACTTAACAGCACGCACTAGTTGCAGACATGTTGATCCATGTAACGAAATGTCACGTTTTTTTTTTGTGACGTTGAGACAGTCAACATACCTGTTTACCCCGCCTAGTGAAAGGGCAGTACTACTTCAGAAAGGCCTTCCTGCCGCGACAGCGTCCCCACCTTCAAAAGCCCAGGAACATGTCCAAAGTGACTTTTTGGTTGTTGACTTCGAGCAGGTCACCATTTGATGGCAAATGGAGGCGATCCACTAGAATTCGCTCTTTGGAACGTTCACAAGCCCCTACATGAGAGGTCAACAAGGTTGGAAAAAGGAGGCAAGTTAAACTGTTAATATTACGAAAGCCAGCCTTCGTAGAAGGCGCTAGCGGAGTTGTGTCTGGCGAACGAAGTGAGTAGTTAGGGGGTTTGGGGGGGGTGGCCCGAGAAAGGGACACGTCAACTCAGCACATGCTGGGGGAGGAGGGTGCTCCGAGGGAAGGTTTTTTGAGGTTGTGTTGGAGGTGATTTTTGAGGGGTGGTGATGCAAGAAATGCCAAATGCATCATTTGCATCATCTGAATGGAAAGGTGTAGTTGGCACCTTGCAAGGTAGAGAGACCTAGGGTAGCTATAGTGCAGCTACCAGGTATAGTACTTCAAGTTCCCTTTCCGTCAACCGCTTGAGAACCTCTACACACGCACAGCAAGCCACAGCCTTGAAGTCTCATTCGTGCTTTGAACTTGTATAGGTGTGTAAGAGGTATAGCAACATACTACCTGAGAAGCTGCAAAACGAAAGCCAGCGCTTCCCTTTCTCGAGAACTGCGCGTCGAAGCATAGGATAGAAAGGCAGGTCTGCACCCTAGATCCACCATCCCACTCCATTTTCTTTCATTTC